TGCAGTTAGGGGCTGGGGTGGGAAGACATGAGCACCTCCAAGTGCGCCTGCGCCATCCCCGGGGATGTGTGGGGAGGGGTCTGGGTGGGAGGAGGGATGCCCCAGCGCGTCAGCCACCTGCTCTGCACCCCTTTGTCAGGGTCCGGTACTGGGACCTCCTGCTGCTCATTCCCAACGTGCTCTTCTTCATCTTCCTGCTCTGGAAACTTCCATTTGCTCGGGCCAAGATCCGCGTCACCTCCAGCCCCATTTTTATCACCTTCTACATCCTGGTGAGTTCACTCCTATTGGTGACAGAAAACCCAACTCCCACGGCCTGGAGCCAAAAAAAAAGTGTGTGGGGGGGTATTTACTCTCTCTGGAATAAAAACAAGCTTCAGGTCAGGCTGGATCCAGGAGGTGAAAGGATGTCAGCAGGGCTTCTTGACTCTGCTCTCTGCTGGCCTTAGCTCAGATATGTTCCCCCCGCCATGTGGTGGCAAAGAGGGTCAAGAGCAGCTTGGGCTAATGTCGTTCCATCAGAGGGTGCCTCTGTTCTAGAGGTACCAGGGTAGGCAGGCCTGGCATGTCCTCTGGATGGTGCACCCTGAGCCAGACACCGTGATGGCACGGAAAGGGGTTCTTGGGTGCGCCACCAGATCACGTTGACTGAAGGAGGTGGATGGTCCCTAAAAGAAAATTGCAGAACTGGCAGCAGAGGGCAGGGGAAGCCGGGTAGGAAAAGGTCCATAGTAATCTCTGTCCATCTGTCCGTTTCTGGAGACTTCTTTGGAGCAGATTGGTACCAGGGACTAAACCCAGGGGTGCTTAACCCCTGAGCCCTGTCCCCAGCCCTTTTTCTATTTTATTTAGAGACAGGGTCTCGCTGAGTTGCTCAGGGCCTCGCTAAGTGGCTGAGGCTGGCCTCCAACTCTCGATCCTCCTGCCTCAGCCTCCTGAGCTGCTGGGATGACAGGTGTGCTGACCTGTGGTGACCCGCGCCCAGCTGCAAGAAGGTTCTTCTAGAGGAAGGGCACAGACCCCAGGTAGACAGAGGTGACAGGAGCCATGCCCAGGCTTTTCTGCAAAACCTGTTGAGCCCAAGTCCTCTGTGGGCTCCTTTCCCCCAATTCCTCTGCGTCTCCAAATTAGAAACCACAAACAGAATAATTCCGAAGGCAAATATGTACTTAGCCCTTCCCGGATGCCAGGCATGGCTTCTGCCACATTATATTAACCTATCTGATGCCACCACCAACCAAGGACAGCAGGTGTGACTTTTACTCCTGTCTTATAGATGGGAAGACAGGCACGGCTGGTCACCGTGGTGCACACCTGTCATCCCAGCAGCTTGGGAGGCTGAGGCAGGAGGATCAGAAGTTGGAGGCCAGCCTCAACCACTTAAGGAGCCCCTCAGCAACTCAGTGAAAACCTGTCTCTCAATAAAATATAAAAACGGGCTGGGGACAGGGCTCAGTGGCTAAGCACCCCTGGGTTCAATCCCCAGGATCACAAAAAGAAAACAAAGAGGCACCGAGGTACAGTCACTTGCCTGAGGTCGCGGAGCGGGATGGCAGCAGAGCTGGGATCAGAGCCCCCTTGGTCACCCCTGCTAAGCCCTCGGGTGCAAGGCAGGAAATCAGGGCCCAGATGGAAGGGGCAGGCCTGAGGTCAGCAGCCGTGGAGGCTCTCCATGTCTCTGAGCCTCGCCCCCTGGAGGCCGTTCCCAGCCTCCCTGCCTCCCTATGGTCTAGTTTGGAATCCTTCCATCCTTGAGGTCTCGAGAGTCTTGTAGAAGAAGCGGGGTGGCTTACTGTCCCAGCTGTGGCCTGACGCCCCCTCCCCACACCCTCCCTCCCCCACCAGGTGTTCGTGGTGGCCCTGGTGGGCATCGCCCGGGCCGTGGTGTCCATGACCGTCAGCACCTCAGACCCTGCGACTGTTGCCGACAAGGTGTGACAGGGCCCGCTGGGAGGGGGGGAGGCTTGGGGGGGACCCAGTCCCTGCCTGACGCCCTGCCGCTCTGTGTGCAGATCCTGTGGGAGATCACCCGCTTCTTCCTGCTGGCCATAGAGCTGAGCGTGGTCATCCTGGGTCTTGCGTTTGGTGCGTGCGACGCTGGGGCTCTGGGGCTCTTCCCTTGTCCCCTCCCTGGCGGGGACCAACCCCGGACCCGGTTACCCGGGGCTGGATTCCACGGACTGACCAGCACGTCTCTTCCAGGCCACCTGGAGAGCAAGTCAAGTATCAAGCGGGTGTTGGCCATTACCATCGTGCTGTCCCTGGCCTATTCTGTCACCCAGGTAAGAGGCGGGGTGCACGGGGGACAGGAGGGCCGGGCCGATGTCAATCGGGGGAGTGTGACAGATCGATTGCCTATTGGCCAGGAAAGTGCTGGGAGCTCCTATGTTCTGACCCAGTGGGGAGCAGGAAGGCTCAGGACCCACCATCTTTATTTTTTGGGGGGTACCAGGGATTGAACCCAGGGGCATTCGGCCTCCCCCCCCCTAGCCCCGTCCCCAGCCCTGTTTTGCATTTTATTTAGAGACAGGGTCTCGCTGAGTAGCTAAGTGGCTGAGGCTGGGCCTCCAACTGGCGATCCTCCTGCCTCAGCCTCCCCAGCTGCTGGGATGACAGGCGGGTGCCCAGCGAGAACCTGCCATCTTAATAAGTAGAAGCAGAGGAGCACACCACCCCCCCCAGGACAGGTCCCCAGGCTGGGCCTGTGACTGAGAGCCAGGGGAGGCTGGGGGGAGGCTTTAGCGGGTGGAGGCAGCCTCTGGAGGCTCCCCCTGGCTGCCTGCCTGCAGGGGACCCTGGAGATCCTGTACCCCGACTCCCACCTCTCCGCGGAGGACTTCAACATCTACGGGCACGGGGGCCGCCAGTTCTGGCTCGTCAGTTCCTGCTTCTTCTTCCTGGTGAGCTGGGCTGGCGGGCAGGGGGCTGGGTGCCCAGTTGGGGGGCAGCCTGGGCCAGGAGGCCCACCCTCCCCCTGTCCTCTCCGCAGGTCTACTCCCTGGTCGTGGTCCTCCCCAAGACGCCGCTGAAGGAGCGCATCTCCCTGCCCTGTGAGCAGCGGGCAGGCGACTCTGGGGACAGGGACACAGCAGGGACCGGGATGGGGGGGTATTGCTGGCCTAGAGCTGGGGGGTCCTGGGCGGGAGCCCCCCCTCCCCGGGGCGCGAAGGGTGGGGGAGGCCAGGGGCAGCCCCTCAGGACCCTCTGGTCCCCAGCGCGGAGGAGCTTCTACGTGTACGCGGGCATCCTGGCGCTTCTCAACCTGCTGCAGGGGCTGGGGAGCGCGCTGCTGTGCGCCGACGTCATCGAGGGCCTCTGGTAGGCAGGGGCTCGGGAGGGGACACGGTTCTGCCCTCTTAGGGAAGGGTCCTGGGGGTGGGGGGGGGGGGGGCGGGGGCTGGGCGGGGGGGGGGGGGGGGGGGGGGCCGGGCCCGGGGGGGGGGGGGGGCCTGGCCCAGGGTAGGGGCGGGGCCTGGCAGGGCTGGGGATGAAGGTGGGACCTGGCCTAGGGGAGAGGGTGTGGTCTTGCCCAGGCGGGGGCGGGGCCTGGTCCAGGGTGAGGGCGGGGTCTGGCCCAGGATGAAGGCGGGGCCTGGCGGGGGGTGGGGAGGGGGGGCCTGGCCTAGGGGAGGGGCTGTGGCCTTGCCTAGGTGGAGGCATGACCTGACCCAGGGTGAGGGCGGAGTCTGACAGTGACGGAGGAGTTTGGCCCAGCGTGGGGGCGGAGTCTGACAGTGAGGGAGG